TTATAATTGTTTATACATTTATTGTAACTTTAATAAACCAATGCCTACAATTTTCAATGCATCTGGCGCGTTAGGCGCCCGCCTCTCGAAAACCTAAGACACGGATCTGGACATATTGCAGACGAAATACGTAATACCTTTTGAGCTTTCCATATCTGTTTTCAGATTTTACGTAACACAAACGGTTTAGGTTCTACAAACATTTATTTATACAAACAAAGGCGCAATCCACTCGCGTCATTTGTTTACTCGGCAAATTGAGTTAATTTTCTTCCCTACATTAGGCAGAACACCTCTCTCTAACTATTATACCTCCTTTAATACATATCGAATCTTTTAATTAAGTGTAGCTAACAATATTCCGTTGACACTGAAACGTGAAAAGTACCAACACCAACGACGTAAACGTGTAGATCGTAAGAGCAGCAGTTTGAAAGCAAACTTGCAAAAGAAAAGAAGAAAAACTCGTCGTTCGTTGGATCGCCACGTTACATGTTGGTCGTTATAACGATGAATGGCTTATCTTCGACGATAATCACATTATGAAATCTAGAAATTTTATCAACAAATTTAAAAGTGTCACATCTATAATATTTGAAATCACAGAATAAAAAATATCCCATGCTTTGGACGCACACTAAAGTAAACAACCTATGCCAATCAGGTGGTAGCCTGTTTTAGACACAGCATAGCCCAATCACCCAATACACTCGAGAAAGTACCTTGCTGTGGGCTCCCAGGTACTTGATGCAGCCTCGGCTAAATAACCTATTCACGCTTTGGACGCACACTAAAGTAAACAACCTATGCCAATCAGGTGGTAGCCTGTTTTAGACAAAGCATAGCCCAATCACCTAATACACTCGAGAAAGTACCTTGCTGTGGACGTAGCCTAGCCACACCAACCTATGCCTCTAAGAATGTAGCATTTTAGGGAGTTGTCATCAGACCTCACTTTATCATAACTACATATCAACTGTATGATACTACAATTTTAAATTCAGTTTTACTTAATTGCATCTTTCCTTCTGTATCTTTATCAGTTGTATGTAACACTTCATTGTACTATAAATCATCCTGTATGTTCTTAAATAAGTTGCCTGTCTGCTTCCTCGCACAAACAAGAAGCAATGACAATACAAACACATTTACAGATCACTTAATGTTACTGCTACAGTGCGCCGGCCATGCATAAGCAACATAAGGAACCCATCACCAGTAGAAGGAAGAATTAGAACTTTGTTAGTCGGTTAATAGACACACAATATCTTTAAGAGTGATCTGTTAATGTGTATGTAAGCATCATCTGTTGCATTTATGGCTTCCCATCTCATGAACATAATGTACTACTTCAACTTTAATAAGTGTTTGCCAGAAATTTTTAACGCTTAAAGATTAACAATAGTAAAGTGAACAAGTTAAATAAATTTCTTTATTTTTCTTCTATCTAAATTAAACGTTAAGAATTAATTTAATTCAATTTTTCTGTATTTGAAACAATTTATTATATTTCAAAATTTCATGTGCTCTTAAACATTCTTTTCTGTGCTTCCGTGCACTCCAGTTCTTCTTAAATCACTTTCTTTCAATCATTCTTGTGATAGACTTCCTAAGATATCAATTATAGTGAGCAATTAGCCAGCTACGGACGCAGCATAGCAAAGGACACTGCCTAGTACTATCGTAATATCCACGTTACAAATTATCCTCCTCTGGACGAAGCCTGACACAACAAACCTATGCAAGTAAGGCAGTAAGCTGCTATGGACGCGGCCTTCAACACAGTCGATCTCTTCGGACAGAGCCTTGTCAACCCAACCTGTGATTTATTCAGCCACTAGGAATCTATGTACGCAACCCAGACTGACCAATGTTTGCCTGTGGTCTTGTTGCCTTCTACGGCCACAGCTGGGCCAAACTAAGCACGTGAAAAGATTTATTGCTACCGCAGCAACCTAGGATTAATAACAAACCTCTACAGTGGTGGCCTATTTCAGACACAAAGTAGGCAAGCAAACATAAACCTAACTGGTACAGCACTGCACATGCAGCATTACCAAACAAACCCATACAACTGACAAGGCACACGGCTACAGACGCAGCCTAGGCTAAGCAAGATATTCACGTCAACCAGTCGCCTGGCATGGACGAAGCATCGCCCAACAAAACTATACATGTCGACCACTAGCCTGATGGCCAGCTACTGACGCACTCTAACCCAGACTTCTTAAGCCCTGCAGATGCGGGATAGCCGAACGAAAGTGTGTACCTGAGATCGTAGCCAACTACGGACACGGCGCACCCTCAACAATTCATGCAAGTGAGCCAGCATCCTGCTACCTATTCACGCAGAGCACGTACCTTACTCAAGCGATATCTCAACCTCTCACAAGAAATAAATAAAACACACTCTCAAAAATAGAAACTCGGCCTCAGTCTCTCACCGAGAGATAGGGCAGGTACCTTACCTATCCTAGAAAGCCTCTTTCTTGGCCAAATTAAAATACCAATGCCAAACACATAAAATGAAGGCAGAGCTACCCCAACGGAAATCGCGGTAGTATAGAGACATCACATAACTTACCCAACTACCATCCCAAGAGAGAGTGAATCGTCGGCTATACCCGTCCAACCAACCTAATACGTCATAGCAGAGTACTGCGCATGCGCGAGACATCATCCCTTCCTGCGCAATCAACGCCCCTAGAACGCCAGCGCAGCAGAACGAATGGCAACGACCTCACCCACCGCTAAGGTCACCCATTAACCTCGTAACACACAACGGCAGATCGTAGAGCACAGTCCTTTGTACGTGACACTGGGATTTACTGGATATGCACACACTTTCAAATTCTCACCACTTAATTACCTACATCGCACTACCGCTCACGAGATTTTATCAAAGTTTCCAAATCACAATACAAATCGCAGGATGTGGAAACACAGACACTTGTGCCAAAAATAAATGACATCAAGGATCTTTACTTTCATTACTAAAGAGGCAAGATTCATCATGTCGAAGATGCCTGTCTCCTGCGTTGTTGCACCCTGTAGTCTGGTACAAGTTTATTCATCGCCCTGATGGCAGCAACATGGACATCTGAAACGTCCGTGAATTTCTACCAGACTACAAAGTACAACCACCCACAAGAGTCACCACCGTGTAAACCTCAAATCCCTGATTGGTCATGAACACTACACAAACCATGAAGCACAGTTGGTCCTCTACCTACCCTCATTCCCATCAATAATCTACAAGAAATTCATTTTCAGTCTAAGTAAGTCTACTCTCCTCACTCCTGATACTAGTATCACTGGTTGCTATCATGACACCAACCAATTACAGAAATCCATGTCTTTGACGGCCCCTACACCTCATGTAAAGCAAATAAATTCACATTCCATTTTGAGAAGACATTTTTTGTCATGGGTCTATTTTAGGTTAAGACAGTGAAGCAACCTTATTATATTATTAGGTCTGCCAGTACTCCACACCACACCCTAATACTGTCCTTCAAACTGTGAAACTTGTTCCAATGCAGATATCAAAACATCTTGTAAACATAAACAAGATCTTTACCTAAATTGACAGGTATTTCTACTTACAGACCAGTTTCATTACCAACGGCATTCTCTAAAAAATTTTCAAAAAGACATGCAACGTGCTATTGAATTTTACACACAAAATCTTAAGTGAACTAAATAATGAAGTGCATGTTGGTGGAATATTTCGCTATCTTGCCAAAGAATTTGATTGTGTGAATCATGAATTAGCACATCTGATAATCATATTTCTCGTATACTTACACAATGCATGTCAAGTAGACACAGAGATAAATCTCTCGCAGACATGAGGTCCTTCGTGATAACAGCCGATTGATTTCCTGTCGTCATATCAGTGAGCCAGCAAAGTGTTTCTGCACATACTCCACTCTTTTCCTGGCAAGCAGTAGTCATGTCAGGTGACGCATCCTTCAACCTCAGTAAAGTCCCATGGATCAATCAAGCTTCTTCTCTGCAGCTATTACCAGAAAAAAAATGCAATCACATTCAACACATCACCTAATTTAAAGGTTTCATAACCGATCCCCTTGCTCAAAATTAACCAAAAGCACAGAAAATATCCCAGCAGCTCCGGTCACTGTGCACAATACTCACACGTCAACAAAACTAAATTCCTCACCTTGGCAATTACTCACTTATTAATTAGTAAACACATCACATTAAAGGCTCCACAGCACTACACACATCACACATGTAACAAAACCACTCATTAACAAAACCTTATCACAAATAGTCACCACCCTCGTCTACAAGCTATACCTAACCTCCAATTTTGATGTCCTATGAACAATATATTCACTAGAGAATCATGAATTCCTCTAGCATACCACAGATACTGCAATTATGCCAATCTCTCACCGCACATAGGTCTTTCAACATATCAAATCTCACATTTAAGTTCACAACATCTGAAGTACCTAATAAAATTGGACAGACTCATCTCTCTCACACGACAACCACATCAAATACATTCTAATGCTCATGTACTCACACAACGAATGCCTCGTTCAGACTGATATCAGTTTCTTGCGGATACGATGTTCCTTCTTTGTCCCAGCAGGTTTAATCTTCTGACATCAAGTCGGTCCGCCAACTGTTGCCGCACGTACTTCAATGCTTGTCTGGCTGGCAGTACGCAGGTCACGTGACAAACAGCATGGTGCTCAGTAGAATCTGAAGGATCATTCTGTTTCTCGTAATCTGCTACTCCCAGAAAGAGAAAATACAGTCACATTCAAGAAATCAAGACATCACACTCTTCTAAGAGCACACAGTTTTACTTCACCAAGCAGTTAACACTCCTACCTTAGCCAATGAACAAGCACCTTCCATTTTCAGAAGACAAATTCTGTCAAGTTCATTACAAACCCATTCACAAGTTAACTTTAAATACGGGTCACGACAGTGTCACAACCAGCGACCTGACAAATTCTGAACTCCCTCACTCACAGATTCATACTGGAGCCTTTCTTTCCTCCCCCCCCAGCAAATTTAAAGCATTCGCCAAGTGGGCCATTATTCCACACGTCATAATACTGCAACTACAAACTCTACAACTCACACACATCACGTCAGTCCCACGCAACTTCTGTTGCCACTGATTCAGTGGATATTTAACGAACAGTTCGCTTGCCGTCTGTTTGGAACCGAGGATGTTGATCGCTGTCTCCAAGATACACGGCTCCCTCTCCTCGTGCCCCATTATGACAGCAAGGGAGTCTACAAACACCAGTCGGTCCATGCCCCTCAGGTTCGCCTGTTTTGATGTCATGAAGAAAGGACGTAAATGAAAGATTAAGAAATGGCAAGCCACTACAACACACCCAACATCTGTAGCACTTCTACTACTAAGGTGAATTCAACCGACAAGGGGCAAGAGGTAGCCGTAGCAATTAGATTTTTTTTCCATATCACCATCAGTAATGCCACTTTATCATACCTTCTGGAAGCAAAGGTGGAAACTTCACCATCAGTAATATAAATTGTTTCAATGTTGAACAATCTAAATTTATAAAACTGAACTCACCAGCTACCTGAGATATCGCCACCATTGTGTAGTGACAAACAAGGAACACACCGTCGTAACTCTTTCATGGCTGGAGCAACAAACACTCCTACCAACATACACAACAGGCCTTACTGGCTTTTCCAGATATGAAGCAGACGCTTTCAACAAGTTCACATACTAAATGTGGTTTTAAGAGAGATTTCAGGTTCTCACAGTGGTCTTTGGGTTCTAACACCACTTGGACTTACAGAAAACCAACACAGATTATGATTTTTAAACATTTAATGGTTCGCTATATCAGCTGCAGTTATCCTTGTGACTAAGCGCAATGCCATGAGGCAGTGGGAGCATGGAGGTACACTCCATGCATTCTCAATTATAGAACAATGTGGAGGTCAGCCTCAAAATGTGGTTCCTTAAACTGGCAAAGAAAAATCACGTTCTTCATTGTTTCTTTGTAGTCTCAATAGAAGAAATAGACAAGTTCTTTATTTCATTAAAACCATTTACTACTTTTCAGGAAAAAAGGTCTTCTTCTTTCAATAATGGCATTGCAATTCAGAAAATAAGTTCATTAAACAATTTACTCAAATGGATGAACTTGCCTGTGACTGCCATCTGGTGAGTGGCTCTGGCTTGCTTGTCCTGCAATCTGCACGCAATCCCATGGACTGCGGAGATCTCCACATGTGGATCATCAGAACTGCAACGGCGAATCACAATGAGTACAGATAATTACACTCACATCCTAATGTTCAGTGTACAAAATGTTGGTCACAACAGTGGCCAATGCAGTAGCTGCTTCCTAAATCAGCAACTGATGTAAAAGGGACAGAGAAAATGGGAAATCTGGGTTTATGATATGAGAAAGAAATACATTACGTGCAGATGCCTCCTGGTACTGGCAGGATACTAAACACAAACTAATTGTGATACAGCCTCTAACAGGCTCACTGTACCAGTAAATAATGAGTTCTGGGTGCTCAGAGAAAGATCTATACCAGTGCCTCATAGACTGCCATGGGACTCGCTTACAATTCTGCGTTGAAAAGCCAGTGATTAACAATCTGTTATGTCATGTTAGTACCATCAGGCTGGAAAAACATCTTTTATTTTGTACACTTTTTTAATATCAAGAATGAGGTTAGTTTTACAATATTCTTCTGCCTCCAACTGCTCTTATATACCTTGGACAGGAGAAAAGCTGCTGCACTGTATTCTCATCTTCATTAAAATTCAGGGATGCCACCAAGAAACAGCAAATTATTTCCCAGCACTGACGACGGTAACGGATCCGTCGTGCTTGACTTCAGAGCAATACATGCTGTCTCCACGACCTGGAAAACACAAGCAACAGTTTCAAGTTATAACGAGTGACAACGCAGGCCAGATTCACTGGTAAGGGAAGTCAAATGTTTTAGTTACAGTAACTTTCAAGTACTGCACTTACTGTAATACTCTAAACACCTTTTCTCCACATCAGGGCGCATGTCATATTTATTTCCAGAACCTTTGGGATTCATGGACACCAACATATCATTGACTAGACTTTTATTTTGTAAGTGGACTTTGACAAATCTCAACAATAAAATAAAAATTAATTACCAGTATATAATTTTTCTATAGTCTATGCTAACCGTAATAAACGTCAAAAAGGAACGTATTATACGCGTATCAAGTCATTTAATGATCTTCCACCAACAATTAAAACTCTAAATGATTTAAAGGTGTTCAAGCCTGCATTTAAATTATTTTTCATACTTGAATTGCAGAATCTGAAGGTTATGTACATTCACGTGTGAAACACATCCTTGTAATTGTGTCAAAAGTACTGAAGTTTATATGTATTGTATGAAATGATTTGTTCTCCATCCTTTGGTTTAGTCCTAAGAAGGATCTATGGAATGTAAATAAACTCTACTCTCTAACATACCTGAACAATGCAATTCCTTATCCAAGTCACAAACACTACAGGTGCTTTGTTCTGTCTGGTTCTTCACATCTCCAACTCCAAAAAAGCTGCTTCCCCATCACGCACACAACTGATCTTCTGAAACGCTGATATTCAGACAAATTAGTCCTCCATGTCTTCGTTGATACCAGTAAACACACACTACAGCTACAGTTCACATGAAAGTTGCTACTCAGTACATCCCCTGATCTCAAACTACTCTTTGAGACAGACTAGGCACTCCCACTAAATCTATAACCGTACACCTCCTCGGAAAGCAAGGTAATCGCACGAGGGCCTGAGGTCTTCCTTGTGGCATTGTGAGGCATGCTACGAACACCCCATACTTGGTCACTAGGAACCAAAAGTGGGCAACTGCTATAGTATCCCACATGCTTGCAGGCACTCCTACCTGAAACAATACCAAAATAAATATCCGCATTGTGACACCAGTCGTAACTGCTACTACGAATGCACTCTACACCTCATCAATAATCAACTGGCCAACTAAACCAACCCTCCATGCAACCAAAATATTTCACACTTATGTCCTTCACACAAGGGAAAGATGACACACATCAATTCAAATTAACTTCCACGCCCTGGCAATATATATGAGAGTAAATCTGCACTGGACTCAGAATGCATCCTAGCAACCAAAGAAATACAGAGGGGCAGAACGCCCACGCCATTTTATCATAGGCAGGGACGGCAACGTCTGAAAAACAGCGAACTCATCCGACCTCCTTGTCATAGCAGAGTAGTAGTAAACTACGTCTTACGCAGGAAAAGTCTGAGAACTGTTGGACAAAAAACAATCTTCCACGTGCCTCGTGGTGGTGGTCCAGGGGGCAAGTCAACAGAGCGAAATGCACAATGCAACCAATTTGCCTCCATCCATATCTCTGCTTCTTAAAATAAATTAAAAAAGAACTCTCGGCCTCAGTCTCTCCTTGAGGCTGACACCTGCCGTGGTGATCCTCGTGGTCAACCAAACTCAAATACCTTACCTACTCTGAGTGTGTCATACACTAGATTTAATGGGGCTAGACGCAATATCCAACGGCCCACACTGCCTACATCTCTGACCGTTCTAAACAGCCAACAGAGGGCACATGTCATATCACAATAAAATTTCAAAATTCCTTTGCGTTCGTCGGACTCCGTGAGAGACAACAGTAATTCTACATGATCGGAAAAATCACCTACCTTTGCACGTTGCACCAAGTCCTACACCCTACCACATTCAACGTAACAGGCCGCGTCCACTGGTACGTGTCCGATGCACTCGCGTACATGAAACACAAACACAGATTATGTTATCATTCTTTACACCGAAATACGTAATTCCCGGGCGTCGCCAAACAATGACGTCATCAAAC